AGCCGGCTCGCACGGCAAAGACGCATGGGGAATCTTCCGGATACACCAGTTCGAAAAGGTTGAGCAATTCCTCCTCACAAACCCCGAGAAGTCATGGGAAGCGTTCGACGAGATGCTGGCCAACTCGGAAGAGTTCTACCAGAGTCTGGGTCTGCCTTACCAGGTCGTTGCTATTGTCTCGGGTGCATTGAACAATGCTGCGAGCATGAAGCGCGATCTAGAGGCTTGGTTCCCCGTCACCGGCGGTGGAGAGTACAAGGAACTTGTCTCCATCTCCAACTGCACTGACTACCAGACTCGCGAGCTGGAGATTAGACATGGAATTAAGAAGTTGAATGCTACCCGTAAAGAGTACGTTCACGCACTCAACGGCACTCGTAAGTTCATTTCTGTTGCTCTAGCCTTCCCATGGTTTGGATGGAAATTCATGAAAGCTAACACATTTCTGTACTTAGTTTGCGCAACCGAACGAACACTCTGCTGTATCCTCGAGAACTACCAGACACCTGAAGGCTTCGTTGTCCCCGAGGTCCTGAGGAAGTACATTCCTGGTCAGCCTGACTTCTTGCCCTATGTCAAGGAGTGGAGGGCACCCAAGGAGCTCCCTGACCGGACAAAGTAGGCGTCCGTCGTGTCAGGTTTGGAGTGCGAGGATGGACATGCAAAGAGGATATCACTGAGATAGTTGTAAAAGGAGAAACTAGATTTACACTGGGCTATGATCCTGGTGGACTAGGGTGTTGATTCACGAGCGATGAATATGGAAGTGAGCTTTTTCACGCGATTATGCAGTCCGAAGTTGTGTAATCGTGATCTGCGCGTTGCTTGATGGCTGCATGTCGACAAGAGACCTCACTGAACCCCTTCGTCCTCAACCAACCTGTTCTCCCAACTCCCCAACCATCTCCACCCCCTACAAACCTGATCCAATTCCCTCAATGCTGCATTCACCTCCCCTTGCCCATTCTCCGTCTTCCTCCCTTTGAACTCCACAAAGAAGACATAATGCCAGTTTCTCACGCCACTCGGTCGTGTATTTATACTCGTCAGGTTGATTCCATGAGACGAGAAGACCGTGAGACAATTTGCCAGCGCACCCGGGTTGGAGTGCTCAATCGTAAACGTGATGAGAGATTTCCAATTATCTCTGTTCGAACTCGTCTGGGCAGTTGAATTGGTTGATGTCGTCTTGTCGTCCTTCCTGCGAATGACGAAGAACCTTGTACTATTCCCCTTCTCGTCGTTGATCTCTTTGGCCAACACGTTCAGGCCAAACAGCTCCGCAGCGATGAAACTAGACAACGCAGCAGACTCGCCACTCTTGTCTTTACTCGCAATTTCTGCTGCTTTACTCGTAGAACTCACGTCGTGTCGTTCAGCCGTCTTGAGGTAACGCGTGAGGAAGTTTTTACACTGACCCCAGGCCTGGGGGTGTGAGTAGAGTTTTTTGATGTTGGAGTAATCCGGGGTACTGGGGTTCGATGAGTAACCCAACAAACAGTGTTTGACATGCACATAAGCTTCGCCGCAAACGAGGATATCGGGATATTTGTTGTTGAGGTCGGCGAAGAGGTCGAGGGTAAAGACTACGCTACCATTGCTGCTGTTTTCAAAGGGTACGACGCCCCGGTATGCAGTCCCGGATTGGACGGCCGAGAAGACGTCTTCGATTGTGATTTCAGGCGTGAGGGAAACTTGGTTTGTTGATGGGGGGAAGGCGTCTAAGGCTGCCTATGAAGCTGTTAGATGTATATGGTGTGCGCAGTGCGCGTTGAGCGATTGATTTCATTCTACGGAAGAAAGGAACAAGTTATGATCTTGTTTTGAAGAGAAAAGTCGGGTGTGGACAATGATCATAGTACGGTGATGAAGATGCGGCGAGTCATGCCTGCATGGGAACACAGAATAGTGACGGGAAATCTCAATCATGGCTTTTGTAAGTCTGTAGAGAAACTCACTTGATGTGTATAGCTGCCCTCTGGACCTAAGAATGCCACGGTTGGCTTCTGTTCTTCTGCCATGTCTGGTCGTCGCTTTTGGAATGTTGAAGGTAACTCGATAAACGAATTAATTGAACGGATAGTTCATTAAATCTCGGAATGACGTCGGAACCCGGTATCGGCGCTATACTAGCAAAAGCAAAGGCTAACTTGTAACTTGTACACCATGGGGCGTGTTACGCCCTACTGTAAGTATCGAGGCTCTGGACCTTGTGCATGTGCACAATACAAGGTATCGAAAGTATCTTCATAGTAATCAAGTGATTTATAAAACAATTTTTCATTCAGCTGGAGTTGAGCGAGCGACGAGCTGACGCATTTCTGAGCGAACAATCTGCCTATCCTTCTTCCGTCAAGGACTACTTTTCAAGAGGTTCGCAATCGACAATTGACGATAGCCATCCTTCGGGATCCCTATGCTTTCTAGTCCTTATTGTAGCTAAGATAGAGCTTTTCGGACCGAGGTTTGGAGAGGTCAAGCCTGTATGAGGCTGCTGCCTCTCCGTGCAAGCGAGAGCGGGTCGTGGTAAGAATGGTGTTGGTCGACCTTGACAGAATTAGTGAAAGTTGTTGTTGCTGGAAATATCCTACGTACATTGCAAACCCTCCGTAGGCACTCCCATCTTACAATCTGGAAAGGCGAAGCGTCTTTGCTTCGACTGCTCCGGCCTTGATCTTGGACACGTCATTTTGACTTATCACGCGGGTAGCGGACGTTCCGTCACTCGAAAGGAGTGGGGACGCTACCTCGCAGTCAGCGAGGGCGCACAACCGTCAATCATCGTAGAATTCGTCTTCATCGTCGTCGAAGTCGGCGAGTTGCTCGAAGTTGAGGGCGTAGCGGAGAATGGCGCCGATGCCACCGAAGCCCTTGACGAACTGGTTACCCTCGGAAGAACGGTCGGAAACAAATTCAAGGTTGGCACCAAAGTCACGGTACTTCTCGGCGAGCCACTCAAGCATGGAGCCTTGGTCGATGACTTCCATCTCCTGACCGGTTTCCTTGTCCATGAAGATGCTTCGGTCTTCTTCTTGCAATTTGGTGGTATGAAGAATGATCTCAGAACCCTCGGAGCTCTTGAGGACCCAGCGAGTAATCTCCAAGTTCTCGAAGACGATCAAAGTCTCAGCAGCACCAGCCTCCAGAGCCTTGAGGGTGTCGTCGATACCGTAACAGACCTTGCCAGAGTCCTTGGAGATGTGGTCGAAGTACTCGTTGATGAGCTTCTTCTCCTGGATGAACTTGACATTGCTGAGGGTCTCACCAGCCAACTCTATAGCCTGGTTGAAACCGTTCTCGCCTCCATAAGATACGTCGACAACCTTGATGACCTTGGACTGCAGACGGTTGTCGAAAAGATCGGACTGGTTGAGATCGTTCTTGAAATCGGCGGAACCAGCGAGAATGATGCCAGCTACGTTGACCTTGTCGGCGGTGATGAAGTTTTGTACCGCCAGTTCAGCGACCTTGCGGACGTAGTTGTGGCGCTTTTCTTCACGGAGACGAGCAAAACGCAGAGCGGATTGACCACCACGGCCGTGCTTCTTGGGAAGATCGACGGAGAACCTACACCTGTTAGTTTCGTGCATGGCGAGGCATCTTGGTCGCACTTACTTGTGGACAATCTCACGGGTGTTTCCTGACAGAGTGCCGAAGAGCGCACCGTTTCCGTCCATGATGATGAAACCGAACTTCTGGTCCGACTCGAGCAGCTCGCTCAATGCCTCGGTGTGAAATTTGTTGTCGCAAAGGTATAGCGACGTGTTGATGGGCTTGAAGGGTTCGAAGTCGATGTTGATCTTGCGCTCCTTGCCTTCAGCGGTGATGATTTCACCACAGTAGACGACAAGGCCATTGGGTGGAACCTTGGAGTAGAGCTTGAGACGCTGCTGGGTGGAGGTAATAGCCGACAGGACGGAAAGACGGTTGACGCGCGACTTGATGTTGGAGGCAGTACCCTGGGAAAATTAGTTTTGGCCATGGCACAACTGCGGGTGGAAAACGCACGAATTCTTCAGCCAACATCTTCGCAGCGCGGGAAACCTGGTCCTTGGGCGCTACATGTGGTCAGTCGTCGGCGCGTCGGCAGGCGAGCAGGCGTCACGTACGGATGATGAGCGAAATCATGGAGGTTCCATTTCCACGAGCGGCTTCAAGACGCTTGATCAGCTTTTTGACCTTCCAGATCTCAATGTTCTTTTCAGCCTCGTTGGGCTGCTCGTTCTGCCCGGGCGCCATGGTCGCGGCGGTGATGTCGAGAGTTGAGAGTTTGGTGTTGGTGGGGTCGAGAGATTTTCTTGTTCAGCGAGGGGCAAGAACAAGCGACGTAGCTGCCGACTGGCGGCGGGAGGAGGGTGGAGAGCGTGCTATGCGGCGGCCTTTACTGCTGCGCGCCTCCGCTTTTCGATGATGCTTGAGTGAAGAGACGGCCAACCGGGCTGGTGTGGATTTATTTGTCGATGACTGTGCAGCATTCACAAGGCAGCACACTCGCCATGGCGCGCGAACAGGAGGCTGACACAGGCTCGCTTGCAGGGCCACTAAGCGGGCAACGGGCATGAAGCAGCTGCAATGGCCCGTTATCAGACTCGTGCCTTGGGTAGCTCCCCGGCTATGGGCAGCTATGACGGCAGACCTGCGGGGCCGCATGATATCCTCGTGATAGCCATCTTGCGCTTCTCCGTCTTTCTATGGGAGAAGTGCCATGCTCGGCGCTTCTTTATATAATCAGGACGGTCATGGATAGCGGCTATCATCCGCAATCCACAAGGCGCAATCTCGTCCCGACGATAACCAGCTATCGACTCAAGTAGCTCCCGCCTCCCTGCAGGGTTTGAATCAACGGATTTTATACTTCTCATCACCTGTCCTGCTGCACATGCACATGCACCTTTTGGTCGCGCCTTCTCTCTCTGCCGTGACTGTCGCTACTCACCATGGATAACAGAGGGAAGCAGCCATCCGCCTGGGATGCTTACGAGTCGGGGAACCGCCCATCCATGGATTCAGACACAGAGAGCCACATACAATGGGACGAGCTCTCGAGACGACCGAGCGGGGAGAGCAATGCCGGCACGGGCAGGTGGACCGGCACGGTTGGCGAACTGCGCAGGCGGAGGTGAGCTCATGACGCGTTTCGCGAGTGAACGACGACTAACAAAAACAACCTCAGGTCTTCAGTAGGACAGCAATTCAGCGCATTGGGCGAAGTCGGAGGCGTCAACAGCATCAACAACTTTGCGCGATCGTGGCAGCGTGCAGCAGGCTTCTTTGAGATCACCCCCGTGCGACCCTCGTTCCGTCTCGAAGACGAAGACGGCGACGACACCGAAGAGTCCGACTTCACACGCAGCGGGCTTCCGACGCCAGTACCAGACCAACGGTCGGCCCTGCGACAGGCGCTGCAAGAAGGAGGACGCCGTGCATCCGATAATGCCATAACGGACGAGGAGAATGGCGCGACGGAGCGGAGCCAGCTGTTGCCCAACACCGTCGAGCAGCGCTTGAGAGGAAGAGGGTCGAGCATATTCCAGATCGAGCCTTCGCTATCCTCGCCTTTCGGGGCCAGCTACGGCACGGGATACGGCAGTCTGAGTTCGCGCGTCAACGAGTCGTCCATGCGCCATGCTGGCCGACTCTTCACAGAGCAGCAGATGAAGGGCGTTGCAGAGCCAGAACAAGAACGAGAGCCACTGCTGGTCAAGCAAGTCGAGGAAGACGGACATATCATCAACGTAGTCGTCGGTCAATCTACCCTGCCACAGACGATATTCAACTCGGTCAACGTCTTGGTCGGTGTTGGACTGCTTACCTTGCCACTTGCGCTGAAGTACTCTGGATGGCTGATAGGCATGGTTTTCCTGGCGTGGTCGGCCATAGTCACTGGTTATACTGCAAAGCTGCTTGCCAAATGTCTCGATGTTGATGGTTCACTCATCACCTTCGCTGACCTTGCATATGTCTCCTTTGGAACTAAAGCACGGGTGGCTACTAGTATTCTTTTCTCCCTAGAGCTACTTGCAGCATGCGTTGCATTAGTCGTGCTCTTCGCCGACAGCATGGATGCTCTCATTCCCGGTTGGGACGTTTTTCAGTGGAAGATCGTCTGTGGGTTGATCTTGATACCACTGAGCTTCCTACCCCTGCGCTTCTTGTCCTTCACATCCATCTTAGGCGTCATGTCTTGCTTCGGAAGTAAGTCAATCACTGCACGCATATATCCACATCAGCTAATGCCGAATAGTCACACTCGCTATCTGGATCGATGGCCTTGCAAAGCCCGACGCTCCCGGCTCAATCCGTCAACCCATGACACAGTACCTGTTCCCGGACAACTGGCTTACCGTACCGCTCTCTATTGGTCTGCTCATGTCTCCCTGGGGTGGTCACTCTGTCTTCCCAAACATCTACCGTGACATGCGACACCCATACAAATACAGGAAGGCAGTCAACGTAACCTATATTTTCACCTACATCATCGATGTCGGTATGGCCTGCGCAGGTATCCTCATGTTTGGGGACGGTGTCAGGGAGGAAGTCACAAGCAACATCTTTCTTACCCCTGGATTTCCACCAGGCATATCGGTCTTTATCGCCATCTGTATCGCCATCATTCCATTAACCAAGATCCCACTCAACGCAAGACCTATTGTCAGCACGCTGGAGGTTCTCTTCGGTCTGGATACGCGCTCTCTCGCCATGTCCTCGTCCATTGATGGCATGAGTGGCCTTACACGAGGAGCGCTGAAGATTACTCTACGCATTGTCACCATCCTTGTATTCGTTATCATCGCCATCGTTTTCCCTTCGTTCGATCGCATCATGACCCTTCTCGGCAGTGTCGCCTGCTTCAGCATTTGTATCATCCTCCCGTTGGCGTTCCACTTGAAGCTGTTTGGAAAAGAGATATCGAGCGGGGAGAAGACGATGAACTGGGTGTTGATTGTTGTCAGTACTCTCATGGCCATTGTCAGTACTGTTTTTGCATGCCTCCCTAAGGAAATGATTGGGGCTTAGAAACGAAGATGTGGAGATCATGACAATGTTGGATGAAAAAAAAGTTGTCTAATAGTATGTTTTCATTTTGAAAAGGGTTTGATATCCCCGGGTGTAATAAGCATGGCGTTCTTGTTTGCATTTGGTAGGCTGTTTCAGCATCAGCTACTCACACTACAATGTATATCATTCAGTGAGTCCGAGTCCTCCAGAGTCTTGTAGTGAAGTCAGCCCTGGCTCAAGCTAAATCGTGCCTCGTATTCCTCTTTCACTCGCGGCTGCACTGACTTTTGCTTGCGATCTTGCTTGTACTAACTCATCTAGATCACCTATCGTAATCCTATCCACGGCTGAACTGATCCACTCAGACCATACACCCATTACATGTCGTCTGCAGTGAGATCTCTACTGTTGTTCGCAACATCCGCATTAGCCTTTGCCGTCGAGAACACCCTTTCCAGCTCTACCACCAGCGCTGGACGCCACCCTACTTTCGCCAACGACAATCGTTTCAATGGCACAGTCAAGACTACCGATGACGACCCATGGACACTGTCTGTCGCCCGAGGCACGAAGCTCCTTCAAGGTATGAAAGCCAGCGACGCTGAAGCCGCAGCTCTCTACAACCTAGGCGCCAGCGCAGAGAGCGCATTCGATGGTGACCTCATAAACAAGCTACGTGAGTGGGGTTACAACGATGCCACGGATGCCCTCGCCAAACAAGCAGACCCCGAATGCAATTTTGACAGCTCGAATGGACACATGCTGAAGAAGGTCTTCAGCGACCTTGCCATCTCGACCAAGCCCAAGAGCCAGGGTGGCCCAAACCAATGTTTCCTAATTGAGCATTACGACAGCCCAGCTGTGAAGAAAGGCGATGACAGCAAGATGCCTCTTAGAGGCGATCAACGATACGACGTCTGCGATAAAGAATATCGCGTCACCGGCGCTGAGCACACAATCGGTGTCAATGCAGAAGCGGGCGTCGTGTACGCTATCAATCTCTCTTCTGCCGCTAAAGCTGCTCGTCGTCTTTGGAAACGCGCTGCTCTTACGGACGAACTCCCTGCTATACGCAGCGTCTCGGATATCGCATGGGCCTTTTGGAACCGTGTGCACAGTGACGTGGAGAGCTTACAGAATATCAGGTATCTATTTGTTACGATGATAATCAACAAAGAGACGAATCAACACATTACACGTGCGTTGGGCACGCTGAATCCACCGAAAGAGGATGTGGAAGTTTGGCCGGGACATGATTTCGACATGGAGACAGATGCGGGGAAAGCTTTGCTGGGAAGCCCTGTTGGACGATGGGCTGGGTACTTTCTCATGCAACATAAGAGGCAGTTGGGTGGTAGCAAATGGATCTCCAAGGTTAGAGTGTTCAAGTCTGAGAAGGAGGGTAGTTGGCCATATTTCTTATTCTATGTTGACATTCCCCCCGCACCAGGAGTAATGGTGGACAGATCAAGAGTAGCGGGTTCGTACGATCGGTCAAGAATAGTACGAAGGAGTGAGGACGGCAGCCATGTTGTTCGAGAGCATGTTATGAGGATGAGGATACCAAAGTCAAGAAGTTGAGCTTCCGCCAAATATCTTGCGTTACTCTCATCTATACCTAGGAACTCCCGCGCATTCAAGTGAACAAACAAATGGTCTCAAGATTTTTGCAATACTTCTCAAAATAACCAAGTTGTACCGAGAAGACATCGTGTTCCGGAAACCGATCCAGCTGACTAACCAGACTAAATCGGTCCCTCCGCCTGAGAACCTCCGATGCGCAAAGCTTCGAGTACGTCAATCCAGTAAAAACTACAGCCACAGCGCAAGCCGTCACAACGTCCACCTTCACACACTACACACCCTTACGGCACACGCCAAAAGAGCCTCGCGATTCAATTCTTCACAAAAACATAATGGATTCTCTAGGCGGCGGCATCGCCAATGCGGACCTGAGCAAGCTGTCCGATCGCGACAAGCAGGAACTCCAGCAATTCGCCATGAACGAGGGACAGAAGGCTAGGATTCAATCTTGTATGTTCTGGTTCCTCTTCCTCTTCACATCACATCACATCACCCTGGGGTCACCTTTGTTTTCCATCATGTCTCGCAGCCCAGGTTGCCTTTTCTCTTCTACACCTACTTTCCAGATCAAGCGCGCACGACATGTAACAATCAGCTAACCTGTTGTGTGACCGATATAGCCATACACTCCTTGACCGACACATGTTTCCGCAAGTGCATCCCCGCGGGGACCGTTAAGAACGGCAAATTGGATAAATACGAGGAGCCATGTATGAGGCAATGTGTGGACCGATTCTTGGATGCGAATATGGTTGTGCTGCGGGAGTTGGAGAGACTGAGGGGATAAAGGAAGACAGACCATATCACAGGAAGGGAAGTCAATGGGAAGAGGGACATGCATATGATCGCTCGGAACAAAGGTGACGAGGAAGGGTGTACGATAACGAGGCGACTTATGATCTGTACAACACTGTATGACGGGAGATATCGTTTGCATAGCATTGCAAGTGTAGAGATAACATGCATGACGAATACATATATCAAGCGTAACATGGTCTCTATAGAATGTACAATTCAACGACCAGCAAAAGCTTGCATTTGAAACCAGATCACAACACATTAAACAAGCCTCACAAAGCATCACAGGTCAAAAGTAGCGGTATAGTTAAGGACCAAGTCCAACTTGGCGTCATGTGGAAATCTGATTCATTCGAGTCACCGTGACTACGTTTATCCCATGAACGCCCGCCATGCATATCACATCGCTTTTCAATTGCCGGGTATAACCAGACCCCATCATAACCATGCCTTCCCTTTTTACAGAGACCACCTCTTTAAACGATGGCGAGCTTGGTAGCCGCAATGTCGAGAGCGTCGACATCGGCGGTGAGGCGGCAGAAAGCCTTCTTTGAGCCGTCGGGGCGGATCAGGGTGTTGATCTTGACGCAGCTGACGTCGTACTGCTTCTTGAGAGCGGCGGCGATTTGACGCTTGTTGGCCTTGACGTTGCAGATGAAGACGAGGGTGTTGTTCTCCTCAATCTTCTTCATGGCGGACTCGGTGTTGAGAGGGTGGATGAGAACCTTCTCAGCGTCCATGCGGGGGGCATGGGGGACCGACTTGCGAGGGTACTTGCCGGCGCGGGACAGCTCGAGGGTCTTGGGGCTGCGGATGTGTTAGCATGCAAAATTTTGTTGTAGTGGGATCGGGCATACCGGTGGAAGCTGGTGTTCTTCCTGATCGCGCGCTTCTTGTTCGCATACGACTGTCATCTCGTTAATTGTGCCCATCACACGAGAAGTACAGCCCGTCAGAGGTATGTTTCTGACACGACTCAAGAGGATCAAGGGAGGCTTACGCCACGGAGAGCGGCCTTAGCAGCAGCATTGGCCTGCTTGCCAGTCTTGGTAGGGGCTGCGATTGATGTTAGCCATGAGCGCAAAATGAGGGTAGCTAATCGAGGCGCATCCGCAAAGTTCCCCTTCCGACAGGCTGCTGCCACGGTCTGGTGCCACTTTACGACATGTACGATCGTCCTCGATTTCGCGGTTGTGATGTTTGCGTAGACATACTCTTGGATACGGCCTTGGGTCCCATTTTGGCGGTTTGGTTGGTCCTGGTGTTAGTGTCGAGAGTCGCAGTCGAAAAGTCGTGGTTTTTGCTCCACGCGAAAGTCGTCTGTGGGAGGAAAGCACGCTAACGCACTAGCGCCAAATCCTTGCATCTGAACTCTCGGCACCTCTCAACCATTACTTTACCTTAGCCATGTGACTGCAACACCAAAACAGTCATGGCCGTCAAAAAGCGCCAAAAGACTCTGTCGCATGGCCGACCACCCCTCAGTAAACCGAAAGAGCGGATGACCTCCGAGCGTTCCAGGACTATCATCCGCACTCATCACCGACTGCAGAAGGAGCACGCGGCAGCTTTGAAAAGAGGAGATGTGAAGTTAGCAGAAGAGACTGCACGAGCTATCGAGCGGAACGGGGGAATAAAGACTTATCAGGCTGCAAGCAAGCAAGGCCAGGCGAAGGACAGGGGAGGCGACTCCAGCAAGTTGTTAGTTGAATGGCTGCAACAATCCAAGGTCTTGGACCCGAAAGCACGAGATCGGCGCAGTACTGGCAATGCCAAACTCAGATGTCTCGAGGTTGGAGCTTTGTCCACCAAAAATGAGATCTCCAAGTACTCAAGCGCCATCGACATGACCAGGATCGATTTGAACAGCCAAGGTCCAGGTATCGAAAAACAAGATTTCATGGAGCGACCACTTCCTACGTGTAATAACGAGCGCTTCGATATCATTTCCCTATCATTGGTGCTCAACTACGTACCGGATGCTGTTGGTCGAGGGGGAATGTTGAAACGCATCACAGAGTTCTTCAGAAAGAGCAGTGTGCCAACGGAAACCTCAGAATCATTATTCCCAGCATTGTTCTTTGTCCTACCGCTACCATGTGTCGACAACTCGCGTTACCTTGATGAACAGCTACTCTTGCGAATCATGGGCGACTTGGGTTTCACGATGAAGTTGAGCAAGAACACTTCCAAGTTGTGTTACTACCTGTTCACCCTAACGAACGAGCCGAGAGTCACAAGGGTCGAGAAGAAGAAGATTAAAGACGGGCCAGGAATGAACAATTTCTGCATTATTGTGGAATGAATTTCCGAACGGCAATAACAACAACGGAATGAAATTGGGCATATTTGGCGGTCGTCTAGAGATGAGATATGAGTACATTACAGCAAGCGCTCAAGAAGGATCAGTGTGCTCTCGAGCGCAAGTCATTTGCCGGACTATTTGTGGTCGACCAGACGAGAAATGGAGACAGGCGTTGAAGCATACGATCAAGATCGTCAGTGAAGGAACCGAGCTGCATGAACTGCTGAAGAGGGATCCAAGATCTGGAGAGATGTCCCTGGTATCATCCCGTGCTTTGCGAAGGGATATAATTCCAAAACAAAAGCTGGTCATAGCCACTAGCGATTTCCTGTAAGCTGGCGTTCCGATTGGAGCTTTCTTACGGCGCAGATGATGCATTTTGACACATTGGCCTACAGGTTGTCATCCCGGCGAACGGGCTACATGACAGCGGATTGATCCAGGATGACAGGCATTCCAGCGACGACATTGCGGCTCCCATGGAGATCCTTACATCCGTTCCGTCGTTGGGTGGATACTGCGGCTCTGGCTAGTGGTCTACAAATGAGGTTTGGCGAGGAAAGTAACGATATGAAAGTTGGAATCATACTTGAGAGCTTCGTCGCTCACAATTTCACGGGTATCTACCGAATCGACAATATCCACCGGACCATCACCGGACCACTCTCGGTATCTTTGTGTAATAGACAGGTTCTAGATTTTGAATTAGGGACCATGTGTATTACCCCACCGAAGAAGACCCGAAGTGCCACAAAACGTTTTCTTGAAACGCCTCCAGGGCTTCGTTGCCGAGACAGTAGCGCATGTCCAAACAACATCACCACAGCATGCACTTTCATCAGCGCACCATCGTGCGACTGTGTAAAGTCGTAGAACGTCGCTTTCAGTGTTTGACATGCCAACTCGGTTCTCGGCAGCGCGTCTCAAATTCGCTCGTTGTGTTGTCGCCTTCTCATTTCGTTCATGTTTGATCTCCATTTAGCGCATCCTTCGTCTTAGCACCTCATCACCCACGATCCCTTCAACCCATCATACCAAGCATTACACAAGCTTTTTCTGAAACGCACTCAGACCTGCTCAACCCCAAACACCGGTCTATCAACGGACGCATATCACTGGGGTAAGACCGGCAACAGGCGAGATGCGCGCAGGCTCGAGACCGGCTCTTCTCTGCAGTGTTCGGTGGGTCCAGACACCGGAGTTGAACTTGAGATGAGCTTGTTGCCATTCCTCCCGGGCGCAAATTTCCACATGTCGGCTTCCTGCGTGGCGCTGCGTTAGGTTAGTAAAGTAAAATGAGATGTCAGCGTTATTTGAGGGCTTTATCTAGTCGGGCGGGTACGCCCTTTGGTATTGTTTCAAGCTTCTAAAAACTCTCCTCACGAAGTCGAACTTCAATCACTTCAGTCACTCTTTCTTCGCAAGCCGCTGAGCTGCTGCCATTCATCCCTAAAAGTCGTTGATACGATCTTCCACACTCATTTCCAACAAGCCGTCACTGCATATCCACCTTCCATCATCTAATCAAGCATCCACTAGAAACCATGAAGTCCACTTTCTTCTCTCTCCTACCCATCGCGGGTGTTGCTGTTGCTGAGTCAGTCTGCACACAGAAGACTGTCACTACAACCGCATACGAGACAGTCTACGAGACTGCAAAGCCCGCCCTGGTTGCGGACGCTACCGCCAGCCAGTCTGGCGCTTGCTCTTCCAGGAGCACTGTCTACACTACTACTTACGAGAAGGTGTACGTCACTGTCCCTGCTGGTGCCGCTACTCCCGATGCCGTCGATGAGACGTCGACCTCGACAAGGACCACCGATATCTACACGACAGTCACCGTTCGCCCGACAGGTGGATACTTTGGCAACTTTTCCACCTCTGCTCTCTTCAAGCCAGAGGCATCATTGAGCGCACCTTCATACCCTACCATGAGCGTCGCGCCGACCACTTTGTTGGACTACTCTTCGCTGGCATACACACCTGTACCCCAGAGTGAAGCCTCCAAGTCTTACGAAGCCGCACAATCCTCCGCCGCCATGGTTCCTACATCGGAATCCAAGTCTCCAGCTGCCTCCACCTCCGCTGCTCTGGCACCAGCAGCTTCCAAGCCGGCATCAACCGTCGATGAGTACGCCAGCTCAGCTGCAGGCTCCAAGCGTGGCGAGGCCACTTTCTACGGTGGTAACACTGATGGTGGCATGTGTTCCTTCACTGGCTACACCATCCCCGCTGGTATTTACGGTACCGCGCTCTCCGATTCCAACTGGGACAACGGCGACAACTGCGGTGTCTGCGTTAGCGTAACAGGTCCGGATGGAAACAAGGTCACTGCGATGGTTACCGACCAATGCCCTGGGTAAGTGATGTCTACGAACAAGCTAGATATAATATTATACTAACTTCATTCTTAGATGCGGACCCAACCACCTCGACCTCTACCCAGACGCCTTCGCTAAGCTTGCCGAGCCTTCCAAGGGTGTCATCCCCATCTCCTGGGATGTCGTACCATGTGGAATCACCACACCCCTCGTCCTCAAGAACAAGGAGGGAACCAGCAAGTTCTGGTTCAGCATGCAAGTCATGAACTCCAACATGCCCGTCTCTAAGCTCGAGGTCTCCACCGACGGAGGTGCGACATGGCAGGCCACCACTCGCAAGGAGTACAACTACTTCGAGAACCCAGCTGGTTTCGGTGCGGACAGCGTTGATGTCAAGATTACCAGCAGCAGTGGTAAGAGCATCGTTGTTAAGAGCGTTAGCATTGCTGCGAACAGCAAGAAGACTGCTGGTAGCAACTTTGCTTAAGTGTTAGTTTAAGATGGGGATTTTACTTTGAATTTGGCTGACGGGTTACTCTTTTGATGATGGATGATGTTTGATGGATACCTTTCTTCACACCTTGTTGATTCGCTTCTGAGTATCTTCACGGTACATACTTTTCGCAGCGTAGACTGCCGTTGCTACACGATTTCTATGAATGAAGTGGCACTATCCTTACACTTTTCACTCTTTGCGTGCTATCGTGTGATCGGTTTTTCACCATTCGTTCTACTATTTTCAAATGACTCGAGAAATGTCTCGGGACCACTGGTGTCTCCTTGTCTAAACTGCCCAAGAGCGGCACCAAACGTTGGAAGGCATGATATTGACAGGGCATGATTAGGTAAGATGTATGGTATTCCTATCTATAGTCATGAGGACTCTTCAAGCCACAATGGTATTAGCTAAGCTACAACAGCTTCGACACCCCTCCCTCATGATCGTTTAGGCACATGTCCATGATAGCCATTCCACATTTCGTCGTGGTATTGTCGATTTACAACATACCAAGAGCGAACCCGAGAGCACCAAGACCCATGGCAGCGCCAACGGTGTTGATGGGAGCAGGGTTGTCGGTGTTGGTGGGGACAACAGTGTCGGTGTTGGTCTCGGTGCGAGTAGCAACCACGCCATCGCTACCGGTAGTGACGATGATAGCAACGGAGGTAGTGGTAAGGACACTGGTGACCGAGACTGTGTTGGTGACCGAGACGGTGTTGGTATCAACAGCGGTTGTTTGAGCTGCACCTGCACCGCCTGCGGCAACAGTCGTGGTGGTATAGTGGCAGTCGGTCAAGAGGCGGTACTGGTCGCTGTCGTCATCGTTGTCGTTGTCGTTGTACTGTCTGACGCAGGCTTCGCAGTTTGGAATCAGTGTGTTTGCGTTGTTGGCTGTGCAGATACACTGTAGGACCTCGGATGAGTTGTCGTCTGTGGAAGGGTCAGTTTGTTACGATTGAGTGGATAATGCAACACTTACTGCTGTCGTTCTTGCAGCCATTTACGGCTTCACCAACTTGGCCGCAGACATCGGTGCACTCAGCAGGGATGTTGCTGAAGTCAAAGCTGGTGTCTTGAGCAGCAGTCAGGGCCGCGAGGGCGGAGACGAAAGCGATCTTAGTGAAGAGCATATTGAATGGTTGAGATTCGACTTGTTGGAAGTGGATTTAATGAGCTTAGAGTGGCTGGATGTGTAGTAGAGAAGATGAAGACAGACCGATTGTTGTTGTGATGGATATTAAACATGTCGAGCGCAACGACTCTTATACCACATAGGTTCTGCATCACATCCGCCATGTCCGATCATGTTTGTGTAGAGCGAGCAGGTACCAGACTCTCAAGCCGTCGTACCCGGGTTCGCTCATGCACTTGATGAGTTGCTATACACTATCGATGTCTGGCGCAGATTCTACAAGTTCCTCAAAGGATACCTATGGGAGCGCCGAGAAGAGAAGGGCCGATTGGAGGGTGACATACCGTACGCCGTCTGCCTATCATTCAGTTCATAGTCAAGTGTCAGGAACAGCACATCTAGACTGCGCCAAGCACGTCAAGCTGTGTGAAGGTTTCTCTGGGCCACGCGATGGTCGTGGAGCCTTAATCGCTCGATGTCATTGGTGCTTGGCGCTGACAAAGTGAACCGTACCGAGCAGCCGAGCGATCATGACGATCTTCCGAAAGCTTGTCATTGCTCCAGAACGCGCCGAGTTTGCGGAGAGAAAACTGGAGAAGGGCGACCTTAGACTGCATGAAACGTAGACTACCCGGCTGTACGGCAAACGTCAATGGGGCCGCGGCGAATTTCTGTATGGTATTTGCGACTCCTGCATGACGTAAACATGCAAATGTTCACTCGTATGCAGTAGATTTTCCATGTTTTGTACTATTTCTCAAATCAAATGGTTAGCCTGACATTCGCTTCCAAACGGCTCGTTGAGGAACCAGAAGTCATCCAGCATCCACTCTGATGTCTCGCCGAAGTCGAAGGCATCAATGCGCAGCCCAACGTCAGCGAAAGAATCTGTTGATAGTGCTGCAGCGGAATAGCCGGGGTGACTATTGATCTGTTTGGCTATGCGTGGCGCATCTTGAAGTAGAACCTATCTTGCGTCAACATGACAGAGCTATCCGGACTGTCAAAAACCTACCTCATTGGCTGGAGGCTCTTCACCAATATCCTTTCGAGAAAGCATCCTGTACAGCAAGCGTGATACGCGATCTATCGCCTGAAGCTTGACCGCGTCAGAATGTGATGGTTCAAACTGCACACTGGCCAATCCAACTGCAGCACCTATATATCGCTCGTGAGTCTCATAGAAAATAGAAAGCGTGTCAGGGGCGATTCATACTTAGTACCCAATGCTGCTGGCTTCCACGACCTACCAGCATTACTCTCTCTTCTTGGAGGCGAAGTGCTTGTTGTGCACAACTATCCAGTGTGCTCTTGGCAGCCTGCGCTACCATGGTATCTAGATTGATGTTAGCCGCATACGCTAGCGGCGAGAAAGGAACATACCGTTGACTTTATTCGCATGGCAAGCGACATGGCAAACCAGTAGCGCGGCTCTATAGTAGTCGCTGCGGGTGCAACATAGTGCGAGGTTAGAAGATGCCGTCAGAGCCGTGTGCAAAGCAGTTGTTGCAGCTGCGGCCCCCATCAGTGCAATTATCGAGTATCGACGCTCCGTGTTGAGTGTGGCTCCTACATCAGCAGTTTTCGCTGCGTATAAGATCACTAACAGCTGTCGAAGCTGGAGGTCGAGAAGTGTGCGCGCCTGGAGAGATCCCGGATCAATCCAGTTGGGGATACTCTGTATATAATCTTCGATAGTGTTTGCATGTGACAGGGTATCCTGGAAGTCGAGCCTTGACTGCAAGCTATTCGTTAGAGCACATAGACTCGAGCGGAAATTAAGCGATCTCGTGGAGATGAAGAGGAAGGACGTGTCGGTAAATACCTCCACCGGTTCTGATGGCGGAAGCTCCTCCAGGCTAGGAGAAAGTTGCACATCATTAAAATTACCAGGTGCTGCACAATCCGCTTCGAGTCTGGAAACCATTGACGGAGTACCTGTGAGGATGTTAGAAAGCTACATCATCGTTCAAGACGCCTTTACCTTTGTCTATGGATGCTTGTAGTTCTATCTCCACCTAAGTAAGTTATTCGAATCAGCATGGTTCTCACATTGTCTTGCGCAAACAAGTTACTGACAGATGTTGCCCATAGCCTTCGCCGCATTTCTCCTTCGAATGTAGAGCAGCGGTCACCAAAGTGAACTGGATCCCTGTGCATTCCACAGGAGATCATAATACCCATATGTGCTTGTACCTCATGATAGTAATCTTTCGCCTTGTGTGAGGTTGCTGCAAGGGCCAGCAAACGCAAGCATCTCACCTGGAGTGAGGCAAGTGTTCGGTGCTTGCTGCTCTGTCGCCTGAGCCAAGCTTCGCAAGCTTTCATCCACAAGACCGCCTGCGTGTGCAGCGTTGAGCCGTTGCGACTATACTGTGGGCTTCCATTGGTACAAATACAGATCGTACACGCTAATATTGAGAGTACGACAGCATCCATTTCTGTAGAACCGGGCTTATCAACGTCCCAATATCGCTCGTATGCATTCTGGAATGTTGGTATGTGCAAGATCCTGTACGTCGTCTCAAAGGTACTGAGATACTTTTGTACCAGCCGATCGGTGATCGATCGATCAGGAAGAAGATCTCTCAAGCTCGAAACGGTTACAATCCGATATGATGATCCGTTGGTGCTGGTCGCTTTACCAACGGCCATCATATCTTGAGCTAATCGCTGAGCGGTCGAGTTGTGGTAGACATTTTTCATGAATGCGCGAAGCTCTGGGAACTGTCCAAGTCAGCGGAGTCTACAACCCGGTGTTGATTATGCTCTCACATAAGCCATTATTGATGTCGGTGAAGAAGGTCCGTAGTAGAAGCTTCCATAATGACGCCCCTTAAGAAAACCTCTCGGAGAAGTCGTACCGGACAAGGTATCAGTTGTTCTTCCGGTGAAGCGTGATGCTTCTAGCGAAACACTCTTCTGGACTAACAACTGCTGCTCTAGTAGGGCGACTTGTCGTTCGAGATGCTTTACTCGGTCTTGAGCTGTTATATCCGATCTGGCGAACTCCGATGGGTTGAACAGTTTCGGAACGTCAAGGTACGACCGCGGCGCCTCTTCAGTCCTGGCAGCTGCTGCACAGGGTACAGACTCTCTTTGTCTCTTGGAAGGTCGCTCAAGTAAGCAATCCGAGGGAGGAGTCTGGTTATCTGTCTCGTAAGCGCATTCTTCTGCGATACCACCCTTGATGCATCTGTCACAAGGTAGTTTCCTGTCGCATCTCAACTTCCTTCTTCGACAATCGTTACATGAAAGAACAGCTCGTTGTCTTCTCTGAATTCTCGGTTTGTTCATGTTGTCTGATGCAGGAATTGGAAATAAGCAGAGTCCACATTGGGAGCGAGAAAGACACGCTGAACGGTCATCTCGGACTTTAACCTCGGAGATCACTACTCAACACCGAAGGGGCCGGAGATGGCAACATCAGGCGCTCAACCATATCTCGTGGCTACTGTGGCTAAGATGCGACAGCCGCAATGACTGGTGTTGGAGGTGACTTGAAGTTGAGTGGGGGAATCCGGGTTTTCCGCCGTTAGGGATCTCGCGCATGTACTCTCTCGGGAATATCGTAATCAGCGCTACACTTATCCCCGCACATCACTGCCTTCGCAGTCTTCAGGCAGTAACAAATCACTGCGCTAATAACGTAGCTCGACGCGTGGAAGTCCCCCGAGCACATTCAGTTTGCTGCAGAAATGGTAGGGGTGATGGATGGATTGAATTCGCTACCCAACTGTCATCCCGAATCGACACTCAATATTGACGCCATACGTTCATGAGTCGTATCCCGGGTATCACTGCTGATCAACAACTACATACACTACCAAAAGAGCATAATCTAGATGGTCATGCTCCTCTGACATATTGATCGAGTATGAAGGTATGATCTTCGTAACCCATGTCATCATAAACTATAAGCAAACAAGCATGGAACAGAGGTCTAGAATGACAACTCCTCATCGAGGTTGCACAGCCGGAAAGTAACGAGGGCCAGAGTATCCATAGAACTGGACGCTCTCAATATCGATATTGCCATCATGTTTTGGGCTCCAGAGCTTGAGCAAGACATTCCTACCAGAACTGCCGGGCGCGTTAATGATCGAGGGACCTTTAGCACTATCTGCTTAGACTTACATTGCAGGGTGGAACTTGATTGTGATCTTGTTCTTGTTCTTTTCGATGAAGAACCGGGCATGCGGAGGGATGAGTGGCTCGGCGTTGGGCTCGGAAGGCTCGATACGGCTAGGTGTAGCTACACGAGCGGCTCGGATGGGCTCGATATAGCGCTCTCTTCGCTCTCGCCATTCGCTGTATGTGCTGTAGTCGAGAGCGGGTGCGCGGCGCAGTGGGCCGAGGCGCGGAACAATCTCATCGTCATCGTCGCTGTCGGCCTCCCAACGGTTATTTCTTCGGATGCGGTCGGCCATGATAGCAGCACTAGGTTGCTCTTCATTCGAGCCTGAATCTTCATCCTCGCTGGCAGCGGTAGTGACAGTGAATGGTGGTGGAGTGGGTGCAGAAAAGCCAGCGGGACCGCTGTACGTGCTGTCGGGTACGTGATCGCAGTTGTCACCGTCCGCCTCATCTTCATGCTCTACCATCTGGCGCATGATGCGCCGCCGTTCTGAATCAGAGCGCAAAGACGATATCCAATTCTCAGATTCAGCGTTCAGCCTTTCACTGCGAAGACGAAGATTCTCGATGCGCTCCTCCATGTCCTCTTGAGTGCCCTGGCGCGAGTACTGCCACACCGAAGGGTCTTCGAGAGCTTCTCTCAACGATATCTGTTCGTTGGCCTCGATCGGAGAGCTGGCAGCAGGAGACGTGGGCGGTGAGCTATCGTAGCGGAGGTTGTAGGCCGAGGTACCAGATAAGAGTTCGTCTGCAGACATGGATACGAAAACGAGACCTTCCTGCACACTGGTGGTAGGTTAGCAAAGATCAAACATGAAATGGAGACACATACGGAGCCGTAAATCCACGGTCCGGTGCTCGAATGACAACCTTCTCTAAAGCAAAGGGGGCCTCCCCGATATGCTTCAGGAGAAGGTTGCACTGCGAACTTTCGCTGCAGTATACACTTTTGTCGTTCCTCAACACGTTCTGAACCTTGTACAGGCCAGGCGGACTGTCCCTACGATGCTCGCCGCCGTCGCAGCTCACAATTTCCATTCGCAGACGCCCAGGCACGACCTGGCCCTTGTGGCCGTATTTGAAGCACATGTACTCATTAGCCGCACTGGTGTCATGTTCCAGCTTCCTCCGCTTATGTCTGCGCTCGCTGTTGATGTGTACTACGGGGCTACGGGGCCGCGTATGCGTGTTCAATGTGGCAAAGGGATCGTTGATGGGCAGGCCGCTCAACGAATCCAGGACATCGTTAGTAGCGTCCATGTCGGCTAAGCGCTGTTCTCTTGTGCGGGCTTGAGAGCGGCGGAGGTAACGTTCGCTTGGGGTAGCGCGAGGTCGGTTGGGGTTTGCAGTGGGAGGCCGCCTAGAGAGATTATCTGCGGCATCGTTGTCACGTGGAGGACCAAACAGGCGGTGGAGTGGGCCTCTTCTGTTAGATGTGCGAGTGCGCACGCGCCTGGCAGTGTCTCTGGGGGACGACGTCGCATCGTAAACGGCTGGCGTCGGTTCAGCTAGGGAGCGCAGCGCATTCCTCGCTGCGCTTGTAGACGCCGTACGGGAGACATTGGGCGGAGAGGTCGATGCATGAGGGAAGTCAAAACCGCCGGTGGTGAATGGGAATGCCGCAGGCGGTGGGGACGGAGACGAGGGCGGTCTGGGCATCGGTGACGTCGACGATGCTCGCTCCCATTGAGGAGACGAGAGACGGCGCAGTGTTTGGGTGGTGAGCAGAGTCGGGGCTAGTAATTTACGCTATGTAGACAGGGCAGAGGATAGCGTGGACGGCACTTGTCGAGGCTGAGGGAACGAACAAGCAAAGGCAGCCTGTCGGTCCCGTGTAGTTGGCACATGCAGTTGACGCGGGGCGAAGCTAGCAGTATGCACGGGCCACAGCAGAGCCTCAAAGGTACGGGCAAGCTACGAGGTAATGCCGTCACCGCTAGCCCGTCTTTACTCGGCCTCTGCTGCCAGACGGCGCCTCACTCCGGATTGGTCTGCTCTACCACCTGCACTGATTGCGCAGTCGTCGAGTCACTTCCGCTACGCGACTTTTCACCTCCAAAGCACACCACTGCGCGTCTTACAACACCATGACCGATCTCACCGAAACCTCCGCGATACCTCCGCCCGCGACCAATGGCGCACTGCCAGGCGCATTGCCAACCGAGGATGCAGCTGGACAGACAGTAGCCGCCATTGCTGAAGCCGACAACATCTCCGCAGGTAAGAGCGACCCTATTGAGAACTACAACAACAACAACAGCAGCAGTACTAAACATGGCGCCTAGATGAAATCGCCCTCTACGATCGCCAGATCCGCCTCTGGGGCGTCCAAGCGCAACAGAAGATCCGCACCGCCAACATCTTGCTCGTCTCTATCAAAGCCCTTGCCAACGAAATCGCGAAGAACCTTGTCCTCGCCGGCATAGGCTCCATCACGCTCGCCGACCACGAAGTGGTGACCGAAGATGATCTGGGCGCGCAATTCTTTATTAGCGACGCCGACGTAGGCAAGAACCGCGCAGAAGCAGCGTTGCCTCAAGTGCAGAAGCTCAACCCGCGCGTCAACGTCAAGGCTCTCACCACGGATATTCGCAACGAGCAAGATCCCAACTTCTATGCCGCATACGACATTATCATATGCACCGACATGGACTTTCTCTCCACCTCCGCTGTCAACGCTGGCGCGCGTATAGCACGCAAACCCTTCTACGCAGGCGCATCACACGGCATGTATGGTTACATCTTTGCTGACCTGGTGGAGCATAACTTTGTCATTGAGCGCGAGAAGAGCAACCGCGACACCCAGGTTGGCGCTGAGAGCACAACAAGGAGCGTCAAGGGCGTCCAGATCAAGAAGGAGAACGGAAAGGTGGTTGAGCTAGTCAGCAAGCAGGAGCTCTACAGTCCTTTGATGCTGGTCAAGGACAGTCCGCTCCCAGCAGAGATCGCGAACAATGCCAGGAGACTGAAGAAGGTTCACCCGCTACTCACTTGCGTACGCGCGTTATGGGAGTACCAGCGCAACGGCCACGGCGTCTACCCTTCGCATACGCCGACTGATCTACAAATCTTCACGACCCTTGCCAATATCAAACACAAGGAGCTCCTCCTCCCCACCGACTCCCTCAAAGCCGAAGTCCTTCGTAGCTTCCTGCAGAACTTGGGCAGCGAATTGGCACCCGTTACAGCTTTCTTGGGTGGTCAGCTAGCACAAGACGTCATCAACGTACTTGGACAACGGGAACAGCCCATTCAGAACCTCATGCTTTTTGATGGCGAGGATAGTGCAGGACCAGTATATGCGCTTCATCCCATCTTCCCTGGCACACCGCTACCGATCATATCGAGCATGCCTGTGAGTGCGCCGATCACGATAGTTTAGGCTTTAGCGGCAGGGAAGCAGGGCGAGATTAGCAGAATACTGCATTGCACGACTGTACAACAGTGCCAGGAGATACATATGAAGAAAAGTGTAGAAGCATGTGGGGGCGCAACACATGAGAGATACCCAATTGAACCCGCTGAATGACAGCCAAAGATCGATAGAGATCTGAATACCTTGAAGCTTTCCCAATACGTCGTGATAATTGAGTCTATTTACTGCTTCTTCTTCTCCTCCTTCACAGCCCCCTTTCCACTCTTCCCAAACAACACCCAACACAACCCCGCAAAGGCAAACAAGACCACTCCCACAGTGCCCACTTCGACCCACCCAGCCTTGCTCGTATCAAGCACCGGCACATCAATCCACTCCACCAACCCATCACCCTCAGCTGTCTGATTCCTTACCTCAGGCTGCACATGCATGAACCTAGTCTTCGGCCCAAACAGACCCTCATACCCCAGATGCTTGCGATCAAAAGGATTAGACGTATGCTGCGCGCCGCTCTCAGCCCGACAAGCCCAGAACACTACCGGCCACGGAACCGGCAGTCTAGCATGCGACGACGCCTCAGCAGGCATGTACCGTAGATGTAACGGTATACTGACATTCCAGTCCCCCTCTGATATCTCACGGTGCGTCGGTAAGCCTTCCCATGCGTTTTTGCCTCCAGCACCAAGATCCACTTTAGGATAGTCAATCTTTTCTGGTTTGGGTACGCCAAGTTCGAAGAGCGCGGCGGAACCCCAAGCTGGCACAGCCCAGTCTGGAGCTTCGAGGTCTGTAGCGCCGGATAGACTGCGGAGGCGCTTGAGGTTCTTGCTCTTGAGGAAAAGGTTGTCGGAGAATTGGTATTTGTCGATGAAGAGGTAGGAAGGGAGGGTTAGGTGCGTGTGGAGTTTACAGGAGCGGTCGGGGGGCGTGAGATCTTGCGCAGGGAATGTGAGGGTTAGTGTTGGATGGAGGCCTGTCGGTTGATTGAAAGAGGTGCTGTATGTTAGGGGGTGGAGTTTGGGTTGTGCTGTTGGATTCTCCGAGGCCTGGAGAAGGGGGTAGTGGCGGGTTGGGGTTTGGAACCGTGTGGGTTCTGTTTGTTGTCAGTGTTTCGTTGTTACGCTGTGGAGATAATGTAGCAAGATGGAAAGGCGTACTCGGTTTCTCGTCTTGTCCTAGCACTGTCAAGAAGCCCCCAAATTGGATATCTTCGGGATCTGCGTTTCCCTCCAGAGTCAACACTCCGATTTCCACCGTTGCATCTTTCGTTGGCAGGTCGATCGTTTCTACCCAGGGTTTGTCTCCTTCTGTAGCCTGTGCCCGTTCAGCTGTCAGGACTACGCTTCTCGAAATAGTATCGTAGTCGATGTCAATATAGTCTGACTCGAAGAAGTCAGTGACCGCCTCCCGACAACGATCACCTATCTCAAAAACTTTAGGGTTGCAAATAATTTCCCAGAATTCATGCTTCATCTGATTGATGCTGCCTATATAGCTGTAGTACTGCGAGGTAGTCGACATTGAGAATCGTTCCGAGAGGATGGGCATTTTAGTGGAACTAGTGGATGTCGATGCACATTTAGGATCCAAATTCGCCCATGGAGGGACAAGGAAGCGGACAACGGAGCATAGTGCATCCTCAGACGTATCTGATAGAGGCGTGAAGAAGACATGTAGACCTGGCGAGATACGTGATGTGAATGGTGGTGTGGACTTGTAAGGTCTTGAGGATGTCCAGCGTATATGTAGTTCGTGCCATTGTTGGAAGAGCTTGCTTATCTGTATACTGTTAATCAAGCTGTTGTTGAGTTGCGGATACGAATGCTGGTGCAATGGTACACACCTCATTAGGCAGCTCATCTAGACCGAGTGTGATACGGTGTTCCTTCGCAGCATCGACATCTGTCAAAGCGAACCACGGGCCTCTTAAGTCTTTATCGACCTTGATTTGCTCAGGAGTGAACTCTTCTGGGTTCTTGACAACGTATGTTATTCGTTGTTTCATGATTGTTGGAGTGAGGGTTTCGATGTTGCTCTACGCGTGATGCTCGCGACGGCATGTGAGTGAACCACTCTAGTCCAAAACCGCGTTAGCGCGTCTGTCCATCTCTGGTGGTGCCTCGGCGCTGCGTCATTGGCATTCACTGGCGCCGCCAGCTTCTAGAACTCAGCCTCAAGGCACAGAGACATCTCCACCGTGTTCTTTCACATGCTTTCGCCACTTGGGGACTACTTCAAGTGCCTTAGTTGTCTCTGTTGACGATCTTCTGACCTATCGTGCGCAACATGCATCTCGTCAACTTTCTCTACCCAGCGCTGCTGGCAGTGAGTGGCGCTGAAGCCCTCCGCTCTGACAAAGTCAAGCTCGCGAATATACAGAGTCTCACGCTGCGCAAAGACCAAAAGACTTCTGCGCGACGCGTTGATCCAATACCGCAGGTACGACTTCATCCCGCGCATCTTACTGTGCCCCTCAATGCAGCCTATTAACACGTTCTAGCTGAAATGCATTGGCGGTTCGGCACGCGGCCTCTATGAACCCGATGTGATGCGCTGCAAGAACAGCGGTTCCGACTACGACGAAAACTCGATACAATGGACATGCACCGCCTCGCTTCCCGAAGAGTTCAAACTTGGCTCTACCGACGTCATCTGCGAAGGCTACGATTACCCCGAAGACCCCTATATCCTGAAAGGCAGCTGTGGTGTCGAGTATCGCCTCATACTCACGGAGAAGGGGCGGGAGAAATATGGAAAGGGAAGAGGAGGATGGCATGGTGACGACGACGAAGACCGACGTGATGGGCCCAAGACCATGGGCGAGAAGATTGCTGGTGGACTGTTCTGGATGCTATTCGGTGGTGTTGTACTATGGATGATATACTCTGCGTTGAGAAACCGCGCGCAAGGTCCCGATGGCGGCGTAGCAGGCGGCAATAGACCTGGCTGGGGAGGCGGCGGTGGTGGATGGGGAGGAGGTTACAACGATGATAACGACGACCCACCTCCACCGTATTACCCGAACAACCCGAACAACCCGAACAATCCTAGCAACCCCAAAGCAGGCTACGGCGCGACACAGGGCTGGCGGCCTGGCTTCTGGTCTGGTGCTGCAGGCGGTGCTGCCGCCGGATGGGCTGCTGGTCAGTTCGGGAACAGAGGGAACAGGAACAGCCAGACTGGTGGCTGGGGCGCTGGAAGCGGTAGCGGTAGCGGCAGCCGCTGGAACAATGGTGGTGAAGGAAGCTCAAGAAGTTCATCTGGTGATAGTTTCTCCAGCCCCAGGCATGAGAGCACTGGGTTTGGAGGGACGTCACGCAGATGATGAGTTGATTGAAAATTTTCTATTGGCCTAAGAATGATACCCCTATTGAAACATTTCGAGAATCAGTTTTTATTCTCTTAGATCAACGCATATGAGGTGAACTATGAGTAAGGATACAAGCCCCAAGAATCCGCACGAAGCAGCTCGCTTCTGCTGAGTCTTAGTGTTCCCTAAAGGTATTCGTCGTATCACCTGTTAGAATACTCGTGTCGTATCGTAGGTGCATACCTTCAGGGCACTTTTTCAGCACGAGCGTATAACTGGGAGGACAGCAGGTTCTTTCCCACCTCGCCATGCTCACAACTCCCACGTGTTCCAACCGCCCCAGGTGGCACTCCTATACGCAGAGGTAACATCCAGGTTTCAATTCCATTCAGCTTACCCAGCGGCAATGACACTCATCCCCCAGTCCCCCAAGGTATATCCTCCTCCTCGATTTTGACAAAAGTCAGCCACCCCACCTTCTGCGCCTCGACATCAAGCAAACACTCATTTCGCGCCAAGTCCTCCACATAAATACTCGCCTCTCTCGTCATCATTGCTAGATCCTCGCTCAAATTCTGCACTACAGACGGCATAACCTGTTCCATCATGCGTCTCATATCTTCGTATGGCATGTACCCTTCTCCCTTCTTAATCTTCCGAATCATGTTACCGCGTAGGAGAGATTTCTTACGATTGTTGTCTAGGCTCGTGAGTTCCTGACCAAGGACGGAGCGGAACATCGAGACTATGAACCAGGTATCGAATTCTGAGTTTGTCAAGGGGGAGACGGCGTGATTGTTGGTGCCGCGGCCGACGTGGATTGTTAAGAGAAGGAGCTCGCGCTCAACTTCGGCGCATCGTTGATTGAGTTTGGAACTTTTTATAGTTATTAAGTGACGGATTCCTTCGGGTAGGCTGGAGCGCAGTGTAGGCCAGGGCCAGCAGGGGTGGGCACCACACGTGTGGATTAGGGACTCTTTGTAGATAGATTCGTTCTTCAGTGAGAGAGATAGAAGAAGCCATCGTGCGGGATCATTTTTGATTGCACGGAAGAGTGTATGACGGTGCTGGAAGAGTGTATGACGGTGCTGGAAGAGCGTTGCGCTCATCTGGGAAGTTAAGTTCGGGAGTTTGTCTAGACAGCCCAAATCATCGGCAATTTTGGTGAGTTGCTCACAGTGGTTGATTGAGACCGCAATGTTGGTGGTTGGGATGTTTATCGCAATGTTATAGAACGCGCTGAAGACCTGATTGTATATATCAATAATGGTCGTTCGATCTGGAGTGATCCATGGAGCAGCCCCGGAATCCGAGTCTTCGTTCTCAATTTTGATCGCAATATCGCTGAGTACATCAGATTTGTTGTCTCGGATAATCGACCACTCTCCAATGGCTTCCTTTTGTGTTAACAAGATTTTGCCATCAACCTCTTCAATAGTGTATGCTGCCCGTGTTGCCCCTACAACGGCAGCAGCCATGCCTGATAAAGCTCCGGCGAACCATGATGAGAATCGCGCAAGTACCTCACTATGCAGTCGCCATTGTTTCGGTGGAGTGACCAGTTTTGTCTCGATGAAGACATCGCCGGTCTCAAAAATGGGAAAGAGATCTTTTGGTGCATAATTACCTAACGCTGTAAACGGAGGATGTTGGAAACCATTTGCGGCATATGGAAAAATCTACAGGTATGTCAGCCAAGTTGATGAAGTTGAACAATGGGTGTATGTACCATTGTGCCATTATTAGACGTCTCATGATCAATAGATGGAGTCAAAGATCCCTTTGTGACCATGCCCGCAAAGGTGGCCACTGCTGGTGGGGTGTGAATCGAAACCCCCTCAAGAAGCTCTGAACGTCGTTGATGAGAGTGGTCGGGTGAGAGGGAACTGTCGGTATCGTTGGCGAGCTGCGAGGAATTAAAACCAGAATCGAAAGACGAAGATCTCATTCTTGATGGTTGTTCAGATGGGCCTAGAGTTGAAGCCTTTTCTTCCGTATCACTTTTAGAGTCACTTGCAATAGTGTCTTGCGAACTTGTGAAACTAGAGATTGGTGTTGCCGAAGCATAGCGTTTACGTGCTTGTGCCGGGGACTGTGAATGGTTGCGCTTGTCCATGGAGATATAGCAAAGGGTTGGAGTAAGACTTTATGCAATAAGTGTCTTGGCTATTCTCAGGTTTGCAGTGTGAAGGTGAAAGTAGGTGAGTGGGGGTGAACGTAGTCGCGAAAAGAAATATGTATATATATATAAACATATACTATCGGTAAGGGTCAGTTGGGCGGACTATGGGCGGTAAGTTGTCGATTTAGTAAGTCCGCGATATAGTCGCTCAGCACAAGTATACCACTTGTAATCAACTCCGCTATTACAGCTGCAGCGGTCACCGAACAAAACCGCACAGGAAGTAGTGGTCTCCAGCTGGTCAGCCATGACAGGATGAGAGGACGACTCTTCCATGTATTGTGTACCGGCGTATCTTGTCAAATGAATCTCTGATACAAAACTTTAGTATCCCAAACAAGATAGGACGAAGAAAGTACCTAGGTACAAAGACTACATTGCAGCTTCATCTTCGCAACTTAATTACCTCACATATCTGTAGGCGTCCAGTTACCTTTTTAGGTCTCTCAAGGTGGTGTTGAAAGCTTTGTATTGTGACAGGATGTCGTGTTGAAAGTGTTGGTGATTGTGGGTGCAAAGAGAGCAGTAGATACGACCTCTCTTATACCATGTTTGACGATTTAACAATAAGCTTTACATCTATATTATAGTGATAAGCTCTCGTTAGAATTAGCTCAAGGAACTATTGGAATAGCTCCCGAAGAACACAAAATATAACATGTGTAAGGAAGGATAGATCGCGGCGTTTATGTTTCATCGCATCCAAGTTTCGCTTCAATGTGTCAAATGAACATAGAAGCTTATATCCTCGATATCCGGTATACCTCCCGTCTGATTATAGAAAACCTACGTCGTTTCTGGTATTTGTGCGAGACCTGAAGGTCCTCTAGCGGGAGTTTTGACAGTGTGCTTCGGGTGCGGTTTCCGGGGGTCATCTGAAGTGGTCTAGCTCTTTCGCGTTCGCCGAAAACTACTAATCGTTCGGCGACATTCTGGAAAGTATGCTCCAAATGTTGTTTGCCTTACCAGCCAGGCTACAGTACCCATACGTTGGCCACTATTATCTCTAATAGTCTTACACCAGCATGCTTCTTGCAATGCATCAATGTCGGAGGGATGTAGGTACTGCTCGAGTACCAACAAAGCAAGCCCCGCATGCATCTTAGAATGATCGCTTCTTTTGTACTATTGTATGCCGTCGCTGGTGATGGTTTTTCGGATGAGTGAATGTTGTTGTCGATGGAAGTTCTGGATCACAGCCCAATGCAGGGGAAACAGCGCCGTAGCGTTCAGAAGAGTGGGGCTTACCAAGTAACAGGTGTTCGAGTGGGCGCATGGCTTTGATGCAGCCAATCGAATTGTGTAGATGTGGCGAAAGCATGCATCACAACAAATTGGGCTTTCCCGCGCATTGCCAGTGTTTTTACGAGGTGGGAAACGCATGGGTAGCTATCGGGCGAGAGCTGAATGTGACGTCACACTGTCGCTGATTCTAGATTCGTCTGCCGCTACCGCGGAGGTCACACGAATTGCATAGTAAGAGAGTCGTGAGCCACAAAAGCCTGGTCTGACC